AGGGAATCGCACCCATATATGCGGACCTACCCGTCGGCAGTACATACTGCGATCATTTGTCAATATTATTTCCAGTTTTTCTAAAACAAAATGGTCTGGTTAATCCGATTCCACAGCTTATTCCTTCGCAACTATACCAGGACGACGTGCTGGGCACCGGTGTATTGGCACAGGCGCCTATAAATACTTATTACTATTCAACAAGTGTTAATCCGGATAAGGATTACCCTGATGTTTTGCTATATGCACAAACAAATACGTTGCCAAGACTTGCCATAAATTTTAAGAAACGTCAATTAAATGTCACTAAAACGAAACATGGTAAGAAATTACCGCATAGAAATATCAACTACCTGTCCAATAGAGAATTATTACAAACTATTGATTTATCTATTGAATGGTTGGCCTATTTGATAGACATTTTAAACAAGGATAATTATTTGCTCGTCCCTACTCTGGTTAGACCTAAAAGTTGTGGTACAGTGAGATTGAACAGTACATCCATTTTTGATATCCCACTCATTGACCCTAACTTTTTGGGAAACCCTGTGGACAGACAGGCATTTTTGGAGTTAGTCTCCGACACATTCCGTTTTGTAGAGACGTCCCAATTTTCGCAGTACGCATACGTCAACCCACGTCCCATACCCGGCTGCAAGTACTGCGATACGGGACCGGTATATAAATGCACTCAATATTTAGAGTGCTTTATCATGCAAACCGGAATTTCCTTATATCATCCGGTGGCCAGTTGCAAAATGGGTGACCCTTCCAGACCGGACACTGTAGTCGACCCCCGGCTACGAGTGAAAGGTGTGAAACACTTACGAGTAGTCGACTCATCCATATATCCGACGATAATCAACGCCAACACAAACGCGGCGGCGATGTTGGCCGGAGAGAAGGGCGCCATTTTGATTATCCAGGACAACCTATAACTGGTAATAACAAAATAATTGTATCAAAATAATTTTTAAAATTGATCTATCACAGAACTGACATTTGTAAAATAATAAATCATTAATAATATGATTATTTAGAGAATTATTTAGAGGTGAGCAACTGTAATATTTAGCTGTTATGTAGCATAATATGCTACATCAAATAGTACCAAATATATATAAATTATATATATAATATAATACATAAATAGTGTGTATTCAATTGAATAAAAGTTTGAAACAAAACAAATTAGGTATTCTCACTGACCATTGGCTATTAGCCACTGAAAAGACCTGTCTGACAAGTTGTAAATGTAAATATTTTCACTGTCACGGCCACATGTCAGTGGTGTTGGTATTCTATACCAGGTATATCATTATCTATGTATATCATATATATCAGCATTATCTACCTTTATATTTAAGCCTATTTTGAGCATTTCGATGATTATGGAAAAACTCGTTTCATATACTGTACTGTAAACCTTACTAAAGTGAATATTAAAGTGTTTGTAACAAGGTTTAAGTAAAAATAAGTTTAAATTTGCATTAATAGCATATGTTGCAAAATATTGAGTTCTTTGATATATCTTTATAAATTTAATAACATTACAGATAATTATAATTATTTGCCAATTTCATTTAAATGTGTTGATATTTTAGATAAATTGTTTATAATTAACAATAAAATTTCATTCATTTAAAAATAATTAATTAATAATTTGATAAATATAAAATGCTACCGATTCAACTCTATATGACATTTACTATTATATGGCTGAGACAACAACGACACGATTATTATGCCTACAGAACACCGCTCCCCACAAAAGCCTCATATGATTATGTGGTGGTAGGCGCCGGATCTGCCGGTGCTATAGTGGCCTGTCGTTTGGCACAAAAGGGAAAAGATGTGATACTTCTGGAGGCCGGGGGTGCCCAAGATGCCTACAGTCACGATCACCCAGGTGTTTACGCGCAAACAGTACTCCTTGATGGCCCAGCGTTTTGGCCCTACTATCTCGTGCCTCATAGTCGTGTAGGAAAGGGATCACCACTATTCCGAGCCTCATTGAAAGGCCGGGTATTAGGCGGCTCTTCAACTGTTAACTTCTTAATGTACAACAGGTATACATTATTGTAAACTTCATTTAGTTCAGGGTTAATATTAAATATTTTAACGCCAATTATATGAATACAGGGGCAATCGGAAAGACTACGACAATTTTGTGACCCAATACGGGGCCACCGGGTGGGGTTATAATGATGTATTGCCGCTTTTTAAATTAACTGAAAACAATACAGATCCCAATGTGAGCGATATATATCACGGACGTAACGGTCCCATTGGTGTGTCCACCGCATCGATGATCTCTCCGATTGATAAAATATTTTTAGAGACCCTCTCAGCGCAGGGTATTCCTTATAATGACGTGAATGGGCCCATACAGGCCGGCATTATGACAGTTCAGTCCACTATCAATAGAGGATTGAGAGCATCGACAGCCACCGGATATCTCGAGAGTAATATCTGTCCCACAGTTACTATAGTAACGAAAGCAACTGTTAATAAAGTCCTCATCAGTTGGGACACGGATGGAAAGCCTATTGCATACGGCGTTCAGTTCATTAAAAATCTCATCACATATACAGTGTTAGCCAATAGAGAAGTCATTTTATCAGCCGGTAATT